ACTTTCTCTGCTACGGTGTACCGCATCGTTGCTTTCTGCACGGTGTGTAAGGAAATAAGGCAGGCAGACTGGGGCGCAGCCAGCCGACTGCGCCGCTGTGGCGCCCACCACCCTTTCCCGTCTTTATGACATGCAATTGATGCTACATGAAATGAGGAACATTTTGAGCCCTGTACCGTGTTTATACGTTTACGCGTTCCCGACGTATTCGCAATTATATAGGATCAGTTTCGAGTGGGACACCCTGTAGAAAGGTGGCAGGGAACCATAGAGAACGAAGGGGAATATATACTTTATTGAAACTTGATGCGATGCAGGTGTATTTTAATTTTGAAAAACAGAAAAAAAAACATTACTTATGGGATGACCTGATATGTTTCATGGTGAACTGTATATCACATTTTGGAAGCAGGAATCTGGTTAAGGCTGTTCGTAATTGGATCAGCTCTGACAAAAACGTATACGTACTCGAGTAGAAGGCCGCTAGTACCTAATGAATACAAATACTGTAGATTGCGTTACCACACAGCAAAGCTGAAATGTACAGTGAGGTACATATTTTATACGTTATGAGTTACAAATGTATGTCGTAAAATGCGTTCGTTGAAAGGTACAGAAGCAAAATAAGGTACACGTGTACCTTTCTTATCTTTATTTACATGAGGCTTAAAGGCGTTCAAAAACCTGCTTATGAACCTCAATTATCTGCATCGAAGAGAGCTTCAACCCTTTGCGGCCATATTTATTTTCCATTAGTTGTCCCCTCAATTCATTTTTTATTTCAATGAAAAAAGATAAAAACACATTTAAACAAAAATAAATGATTTATTCAGACTTTTTCAACAAAAAGAAATAATTAATAAAATTAGTAAAAATATCGTAATAAATGGCAAGTAAAAGTAATTTCAGGTGAGTTCGAACAAAGGACGGCGGGCAAAAATTATATATTTGTGATGTCGGGTGACACCCGACATCACAAAACATTCTGTTTTAGGGCAATCTTTCAAGTTTATTGAAAGTTGGCCGCCCATTTCTTCGTGAGAAAAACTCATAACCTGTTGGTTCATACTTCTCTGTTCCCGTACAAAACTCCAGCATTTAAAAATTTCCAGAATCATTGATTGCCATTGAAACATGATATGTATACTTTTACCAAATACTCCTTTACAAGTATTACGATAAGGTAAATAGAGAGAAAGGAAGAAAACTCTTCTCCAGAGGTCCGGTGAGTCCTGACTCGAGTTCGAAAGTTTCAGGGAACATAATCGCCATCTTATGCCTATTTTCAGTACTGCACTGAGAACCCGGACATCTGCGTCAACAACGTACACATTTGTACGTCTGGCCCACACATGCGGACCCGAGGGACACAATATGTACCTCCCCTTGTACGTTTCTACTTTGATGTGCACCACTTTTCTCCCGTTTTTCGAGAAAAATAGAATATTTTATCAGCTTGAAAGGAACAAAACACAGTAGTGGAAATTAATCGCTGCAAACTTCAACGTCTCTTATGTCATTTTGAATGCCCTCGCGCAGCATTCTACAGGAGGTAACGGTTCTCGCGCATATCTAGCGTGATCTCTGGGATGAGCTCTTTGCAGAAAGGCAGTCGATTCGCTTCATCCGCTTCAGTCAACTGATGAAAGGGGGAACTTTTGGTTGTGCAGGATTCGGAGAAGACATTATGGTGAGATCGGGTAGGCTTTGACGACGCGACGGATTTACACGAGCAAAACGTCCCTGAACGCCTGACGCACTGTCGTTGCGACCTTACTCCTTCACAAACAGTCCGGGGCCAGTCCTCCAGTCACGCGAGATCGTACCAGTCGCGAGGAACTTCTTTTACCATTATTTGATCGCTATTTAACCAGAAATAACCATACTAATGCGGAAATATCCGCGAAAATGGCGCTTAACGGCTGCTGCACTCCGACTCGCGTCTCATCAAAAAACATAATGCGCATGTTCTCGTCCTCGTGGTCCATCAGCACTTACGTGCTGATGGACCACGACGAATTTAGCCACAAACGAACTATAAAAACAAGATGGTCAAGTGCGCTTTGTCTCAGAGCTTCCTCAGCGCTCACTGGATAATTCCATGAAATTCAAAAGGTGTGTATTAAAGTGGAAGCCCTTCTCTCTCGAATGAAATCTGATCGTACTGAAATGGTGCAGTACGAAATAAATTATTCGAATAATAAATCCCGGATATATACAGGAACACCCTGTAATTTAATCGAAGTTAAATAGAAACGAGTGGCTGGAAGAGCACAGTCGAAATTTGAAACGACCCTTGCCGAGTTTGAAATGGCCCGTATCGTCATGAAAAAATATGTATTGGATTCACTATGCACTATTAGAAGCAGAGATTTCCGACTCACGACATATCCATGAAGATCCATGAGAACTCCGAAATTGGTGAGATGGCTGCATTCACACACCGTCTGATCCCTGGTAGATGACACTTCGCGACAGCCTCTCGTGTCCCATTGATCCCTGCCCCTGCATTATCCAATGAATTTGAAATCCCGGTAAATCCAGTTGATGCTCTTGGAATCTTCGTATCTCCCGAAATGGTACAAACGCACTGTTCAGACATGTTCCAAAAGCTGCAGCGGTGACTTTGGGGAACAAATGTTGGTTGTTCTCTTTCGTGAAGGTCTCTCCATATTTCCTTGTACGGGGGGTCTTGGGGCGGATCCGTATTTTCCAGTGTGAGAGTCACGGGATTCCTCAGGTTGAAAGACTCCTTGAATTTTATTGTGAAGCTAACAATTTTAGAATTAACGGTCTTCTCTTCTCCAAACCTAAATAAGACTTACGATTTAATAGGAAATTGAAAGCGATCCTTCGATCACAAGTAAGTGCTTACGCGTTTTGATGTCCAGGCAACAGTTGGTTTATCTCCCGAATATCATATAAAACCCCGACATAGGAGTAATTGTCCCCTTGGAGGTCGCTTTCGAACGTTCTTGGCAACTTCAAATATGTCTTGCTGTCCTTCCTGGGGAATATGATTTCATTCGTTCCCTTCTTTTGTCCATAAACCTCAATCAGCATCGTAGGTTTGGTATCTTCGAACGCAAGTTGTCTGTGGAATTGATTCATGAGCGTCTCTGACAGGCGCAGGCAGGAGTCAGTGACTGTTGTGAGAAGCTTTGTGAAGGTCCCTGTTCGGTTATCCTGAAAAGGGTTGAATATTAAAATCCTTTGTATTTTAACTCTCATCATTACTACATGTTTTGCAGTTTTAAGGAAATTTCTATACATAAAACCCTTTCTTAATACGTTCCTTGATTATCTGATGTCTATTATTGCCGAAGATACGTTCTGCATTAAGCAATATACATTCTGGAATGCAGTATGCTAGTACACTGTAAAAAGTAAAATTTTCAGAATGAAACCTTTATAAACAATTTTCGTGGAAGAGCTGTAACTGATTCTTGGAGCGAACACGATCTTTGTCTTTTGACTGCAGAGCGTGAGCGCTACGATCAAGGAGACTAACACGATCATAGCAACTAGAGTAGCGAAAAACTTTTAGACTCCCTGAAATTCGAACTTGCACCAGTTTTTGGCGAAACATGTATACACTAGAAACATATTCGTGGAGCCAAACACGGACGAGCTTAAACTGTTCGATTCCTGGAGCTTCCAGGACTTGAGGGCTCTGATACGACAGATAATTACATGATCTGGATATTCACACGCTCACTCCCATGAGTAACTATTAAACAAAGATAGTGAAAGAAAGGTTCTAGGGATCACTAGACATGAACTCGTGCCGAAACCCTTCCTTAATACAGGTTGGGCCAAAAATTACCAAACAATTTTCAATGGTACACTACAATTCACTCATTACATACATTTTACTGCATTTTGCGGCATTTGTACGAGGAATGAATGAGCTTTAAAAAATGTTGCCCTTGTATTTTATGCACGGGTTCTCCCAAAAGATATGGAAACATTTTAAAAAGAGTATGTCTCTCTAAATTATGCCCGAAACTAAATACTTAAAGCAATAAAATGAAGAGCAACTCAAACATCTTGCATCCAATTATTGCAATTTCACATGGGCAAACATTGTGGCTCTGTAGACGTGAAAACGATATTCGAGCTCTCACCGCACGTTATGCAGAGTGTGAGAGAAAACTGGTTAGCTGGGACGATTCTGTTCTTTAGATCTGGATTGATTACCCACTTTTCTCCAGTAAACTGCGTCTCTGACAGACCACAAGAAAAAGTCCACAGGGGTTACGTCATGTGATCTTGGTAGCCATGGAATGGGCCCACTTCGTCCAATCAAAGACCTGGGAATTTTCTGTGGTGCATAAGTTTGCAAGAACGTGCAACAACTTGGAAAATTATATTTTATTGCGCCTGAACCCATTACTCTTGGACTTATTTATTGTGGGACTATATCAAGGCATTGTAAACATTTCCTAAGTCAGGAATATTCAAGACACGAAGAGCAAAATAGTCGCAGTTATCCAGGTAGTTACGCTTGACAGTTTTAGGTGTGGTAAGAGATGGAACATCGTTTGGACGTCTACAGAGCCACGAATTATGCCTATGTGAAATTGCAATATGAAGTTAAAAAATGTTTGAGTTTCATTTTATTTGACTGTTTTAATCATTTAATATCAGGCATAACTTAGAGGGATATTCATGTTAATCCCTTAACACTAGAAGTACCAGAGCGGTCATTTTGACTGCAAGTTATTTTTAAATGCAAATTACTCCGCTCTTTTGGCAACTAATGGCCTGTGCATTTTCGAATTTTCATATATCTAAGTACTCAACATCTTGATATAGCAGTAGACCCAGGATTGCAAAATCAACGTATATTAAACACGTTATACCCAGAAGTACCAGAGCTGTCTTTCTGAACGCCATAGAGGAATTTGGCTTTGTGAGCGACTGTCCAAGCAACTGTGAGTCTGCGTTTGACCTATCATTTTCACGCGTTCGACTTGCTGGGAAAACGTGCTTTTTCTTGTAGCTGAATTTGAAAGCTATGCATACGTCTTGTATGTGTTGTAGTAGGATACTTTTTCGGACAAGTTCAGAATAATTTTCCCTGCAACATATCTGCTGTATCTGTACCTGGTTATCTTGAAATTGTGTATAGTGAAGTTGTGTATAGTGGAAATGAATAAACCAAAGTGATACTGCACTGCAGTGCTTACAGCGATTACAGAACTTATCTAAAGCTAAATCTAGAAATGAAAATGAGACATGCCTAAGTAATGATAAAAACTACTATGATCATGATGAGGGGAACAAGAAGCATGACGGCTGTGCCAGGTGGGAGAAGGCAGGGTTTGGCAAGTTCTGTGCATAAGCGCAGAGTAGGATGCTTATGTTGATTCCATAAACACCTAGGCCCGTATGCACGACCTAACCGTTAGGGGACCCTAACTCAAGAAAGTTAGGGATTCCCTAGATGTTCCGTATTCACGTTCCTCCCCTAATCAAGGGATCCTTAAACCCAACTCTTGCATTAGAAGATAGGGGAGCTTCCAGTTTTCCCTCTAGAAGCTCGAGTGTTAAATGCACTCAATCACCGGCAGCACCTCATTCGTAGATTTTCTCATGAAATTTTCATCACTTTTGAGAGTATCTAAGGATGGAAATCCCCCCTAAAAATTCATTTGTCCTTTCATTCACATTGTCTACTTGAAGGATGATGTCATCAAGTGAAACTTGCTGCTGCTATGTAGAAGTCATGGCAAAAATTATATATCCCACTCTAAATTTGAGAGGGAAAAAACTCTCCTCTGACTATAATTATTACCACGAAACTTGCACTAAGCCTAAGCCGAAATGTTTTCAATAGCTTTGTGGGATTTCATTGAAATGCTTTGCGGCAAGTGAAGCCTATTAGTCATAGTTAAAAGAAGTAGAAACCATTGCAGTGGACTGGAGTGCTTGCTGGTAGTTTAGCGAAAAAGACACCTTCGTTCTACTGTTTCCATGCCATGCAGATTATACCAAACATATAGTGCATTAAAATTCAATCGTTGGCTTGCCTTTTGCTGAATATAGTTTTAATGACGTTCTTTTAAAATAATAACAGATCATCATCTGGTAATTTGGAATTAGGCCTATATTGCCGTCACTCTCCCAGGAACAGTATATCGTAACAGTTATGGGACTCCTAGGTACGGATTTCCCTGAAAATGGTCTGCTAGGGGGCCCTTAGCTAGGGAATCCTTTAGGATGATGGAGGAGAGGGCGCTTGTGCTGGAATGCTTTTTCATCTTGGTGGCCTCCTCATCAAACACAGAAGTTAGAGAATTTCTGCTCATTAATTGATTGTTTTTTTTTCTTTTGAGTCTGACACTTTTTGATGACCATGATACCCAGTTATGCATCCTATTCATATGTAAAATATTGTAGTTGATCGCATGAACTCTCATTGTTTCGTCTAAAAGTTTTTAATTGCAATGATTTTCTTCACATTAGCTTGAGTACCGGCCTAGGCCCAAGCGGGTACTCAACGCTAATGAAAAACAAATTATTTATATTCAATTTGAAAATTACAATTGTAGTTTTACCTGCCATCAATGCTGCATCGATGATTATTGGTGCAACATGCATGACGTGTCAATCAAATGATGAAATGCTACAAGAGCATGATTTATAGTATATCAGCGGTATTCAAAAAACGACTAAGATGAATTAATAATTGACTTTTTCACATTTTGCCATTTTATTGGCATTCATGAATAATTGCGTTTGTAACGTATGCCAGCCTATGACCGCACAACGTCCAGTGTATCAGTAGACAGTCAAGGCGGGGAGGAAGCTGAAGGAGGTGAATTAAAACATCAATTAACATGTGGAGATGCCTGAATATGGAGGTGAACCCAGTGTTTGGGGTTAGCCAACCCATGGAAGGGTTCCTTACAGTTTAAATGCAGGATCTTTTCTTCTCGAATGTGCTACCCAAACACTGTACAAGGAGCCATAACATCATTATGTGAATGGGCATCAAAGTCCCTTCAATCAAGTCTAATCTCCAAACCTATCCTCCAATCCAGCAAGATTTCAGCTGAAGATTTCTCCCTCGTTCCCTCACTCCGAGGTGACTGAAGAGCTCGAACTCGAACTCAAAGAACTAGAGTTAGTACCGATTTGACCGGGGTACTCGGGCCCTTTTGATCGTGGATGCTCTGAAACTGGCCACCTTTCTCTCTCAAAAACATACAGAGGAAAAACGTTATAGTTAGAGGATCTTTTCGCTTCCATGGTCGTGAGTTTTCCCCGGAACTTGCAAGGTTTTATCTGGAAGTGAAGATCAGCCCATTGTCATTGAAAGTACTGAAAAGGGGTTGGACCGGTTGTTTGCCTAACAGTTCTATTGTTTTTTTATTATTAATTATTTTTTGGAAATACAATTTCTTTTGGTTTTCTTGAGTTACTCCCGCTCGAATTAGAATTGGCACGAACCTGATTTCCTTGAAGGGAATTCATTGTAGTGGAATCGGGGCGCGTTAAGGTAAAGGTTTTATTTTAACTTAATTAATATTTGATATTTTCATAAATCCAACCCACTGCGCCCCGTGCCCGTTACACGTTAAACATATTTTTAAATCCCGAATTGGAATCCTTTGCTGTAAACTGGCAAGTTTAGTCATTGTTTAGATATTCAAATACTTATAATTCATTTTTACAATGAGATGCCCATGTATTTATGTGCGCACCTGCTGAACCTGCCTGCAATTCGGAGCATCCATATACTGCAGAGAAATATGTCTTACTTCACTAGTAAATAATGATAAACTTCACTATTTACTATGAGAAAAAAGGAGTATTTATCGAAAAAGGAATTTGTGACAAAGCTGCACCTGTAGCCGATGCGTTTACATGAGCCCGGACCCAAAGTAGTGGCAGAATTATATGGCTGCTATTACTCCTACTTTTTTGGAGATTGATATGCTCTCAAGAGTACCTCGATCATAGACAGGAATTGAATACACTAATGGAACACTAAACGACACAATTACAATTCTTAATTGGTGATCCTCGTGCTGCAAATGACATGGCGTCAATAAGAATATGGTCTTTGACACCTTTACTTTAAAGGTGCGAGAATTAAACCCATGAACAAAGGAGTTTGACCGCATTAGTAGGTGTGAGCATCGAAAACGGGTGCCTTAGACCGCAGAGCGCCGAAGGCGCGTCCATAGCTAGTTTCTTTGCCCGAAGGGCAAACAAACTCGCTAGTTATAGTATAGAGTTGAAAACTGCCCGGTTTCTTTTCGGCCGATTCTGTAGTTCAAGAGCTTCCGAGTTATTATTTTGCGGCATTATGCTAAATAGTTTTTGAAGCGAGCTTAAAACCATTTCAAGTGTTTCCTCAAGTACATGAAATTGCTCTAAAGCGTAAAACTATCTAAGGTTCTAGTCCAAACCATATTTTGTACAGTGCAGGCTGCCTTGCAAAATTTTCAAAATTTGTGAAACTCAGACTATGCTAAATATATTCTTGCATGTATATTTAATAGGAATACTTGATGGAAAATGTGAGTTTCTAAATACTCCACATCATGTCCGGTTTTTCGAAAGTGCCTTAATTGCGTTTCAGAAATGGTTTCCCTTCCAAGTCCCAGGTGAAACATGGCCTGAATTTTAGTTCACGATTTACTTTGAAGGCCATCATCAGGCCATCGAGGTGCATGCTCGAGGGGCAGTCAAAACACTCCAGCAACAATACGGTTTCTCCATTACATCCGCATGTATGAACGATGAAGTCTCGGACACATTCTCCATGCAAATCTACACGCTTTTAAAATTTCTATTTCTATTTTTGGAAGCACTCAAAGGCGCTGGAAAATTACTTATCGCAAGGCATGTCTACAGCTGTACCGTTTCAATTTCAGGCAATCTTCCGAGGGGGGAATATTAAGACATTCAATGAAGCCATTTCAGATGAATCGCGGGTTTGATACCAATTTCACGATTTTATACCCCAGGCAATCGAAAACAAAGGTTAATCAGTGGACCTGAGCATTGTCATCGTGGAGCGTTAAGGGGTCGATATGGAAAATATTTCTGGAGAGCGTTGTTGGCCTGAGACCCCTCTGGCGTGGATAAAATCCTGTAAAGAACCTTAAAATTCTCTAGCCAGCGGCAGAGCATCATTTTCCCACCACTCGCGCCATGCTGAACAGCTTCCAACTCAAATAATTCTGATGAAACTCCGGTCGTAGATGCAATAACAATGTCATTGCATTCATTTACCACAGGGTCTGAAATTCTTAAGCAGAGCAGCAAGTGTTTCCTCCCGCAACACCTCCGGCGCAAACGTGGGGACCTTAGGTTCCAAACTGCCCAGATATTTCTCATGAGCAGACACTCATGGAGAATGGTGTATATGTCGCATGCAAGTTGTGCTGTGTAAGTTAAACTTGCTTGGTAATTCATTGTGCAAGTTGAACTTGCACGGCCGAATCGCCCTGGGTTAAGATGAACAGTCCATCACGGTGTGCAGGTTGAACCTACACGGGCACACCCATGTTCATATTAACCTGGATTGCACATTTTCGCGCAAGTTCAGAGAAGTACTTCATCTCGGCCAGAATAATAATCGTATGCCTTCGGCTACCGAAACTTGCTTTATTTTCGAGCCAGTAAAAACATCATGAAATAAATTAGTTGATCACCCCTATAAATGAAATGAAGAAACTGCTTCATGGTGTTAACTTGTCCATAATTAAAGAATCTGCAACAACTTTGTCGTGCCCCGCATTCAAGCCTTTCTTTTAAGCACACCTTTTTTAATTTCCATTCATTTGTTGGAACACGTCTGAAACCCTCGGTATTATTGGCTACGCAGTTTCGCCTTTTTTTGTAGATGCATCGTTCGCAGTGGTGTATTTTACCGGAAGGGGTGGGGGAAAGCTGCCACCCTAACCTTGGAGGTAATAATTTTCTTTCCTGATATCGCTCAGGTGGGATTTGGCCCCCCGGGGGGCGCAAATGCTCCAGCTGGGCATTCCTCTCATTGATCTTTGGAGCCTTGACCTCTGCGATGAGCATCTCGTACCTATCTATTGGAAACACTGGGTCGTTGGGAGTCTTGGTCTTCTGGTAGAGCTCCAACAGATAATCATTGAACTGGGCTCTCGTGCCCATTACCACCCCATTATCACTCACACTTGTATCGCACTGAACAAGACAAGGTGAGAGAGGCTGTCAGTAAAAAGCGAAAGGATGAAGGCTCTCCCTTATCGTTTTCCCAAGGCCAGGCGTGCTACCTGTAGTCTCGATAAAAATCGCATAACTGTATATCTTTAGAGGTCTAGATATTCCTCTTGAACTTTCACAAAAGTCCATCGTGTGGGTTAACTTGCATAAGAAAAAATGCATGCAAGTTAACATGCATTAGGAAAATCAGACGGGTTCAATTTGCACGGTACATTTTATGCAAGTTCAACTTGCACGGAAAGGTCAGTTACTTACGTAATATATATTACAGGTAGATCAAGAAATCAGGCATTTCATGTAGAATACCTTGGTTATCTATACTTTAACACTTTCAGACCTGGCATCCATTCCAATGGACATTGCAATTGGAATGTGTCTATGGCAATTTCTTAGGATTTTCGTGACTTTGCGCTCCATATTACGCTACAATGGGCGCAATCATGCATGGCTCAGTTCCATCATAGGCCTTATTTCACCCATTAGTTTTATAATCTTCAGTTATTTAATTAAATGTATAATATATAACATATGGTATAATGTGATAAAATTGTACAAAATATGAAAACTACACATAAAGCACGAAAATTTCAATTACAGGCACGAAAGAGCTCAAAAATGCAAAAAAGGATATTATTCCGATAGCAACCCTTAATTCAGGTCTGAAAGGGTTAACTACGTTTTACACTATGCTTGTAACATACATATTACGATGAGGTTTATTCACTTCCACTGAAATATAATCAATGGTTCACCTTCCAAAACCTGCTACTCTATTTACATGAACTACATTTCTATCTCAGCCAGTTGAAACTGAGCACAATGACCACGGGTAAAGCTCCAGGTACTGGCGGCTATCCTTGAAGCTAAACAACCACTCTGCACCAGTACGATGAAGTAAAACACTTTCAGCCATTGTTCTTGACCAATCGCTATGGATTTCTTTTGAGCTTGTATTAAATCATGAACGTAGTTCGATCCTCACACGAATATCTAGGTCATTCAGAGATGGAATTTCAAGTCCAAGGGGACATGATTCTTGGAAGCAATCGTATTTTGAAGACGAAGCAAAATGCAATGCATCGAGTGGCCCCCAAAAAATCCTGTTTCAAGCCTTTTGCGCCTACTGTAGATTAATTATGTCAATACTAGTTGGAAATCATGTAGATACGTGGTGTTTAGATAGTGGCCTTCGATATTAGTCAACGGATGGCAGTTGCTGGAGAAAATGTGTTTCTCGATTAAAAAGATTTATGGTTGAACGCACTTGAAAGCTATCGCCAAGGCCTACGCCCAATGTATTTTTTTTGCCACTGATCGCATTCGGAATCCTTATCATTTGCTCTGCATACGCGGGGACGTTCAGCCTTTGGCACTGATTCCTTGAGAGGGAACGGCATCAGTATGACTCACGCTTGATTCTCTTTCTCCTAAGATCATCGGCAGAAGGGCTTTGATCAGCTATATTTCTGTCACTGTTTTTGTGGCATGATTAGGGAATGATTTTTTTCCCATAGAAAACCCTGGTAATTCAGGTTTTAAAAAATACATATACGCCCATGAAGGCCCAAAGGGACAGAACTAAAAGCATTCCGGGAGACATGAACACGCAAAACAAACGCGCAAAGTCAGTAGCAATCGTTCCGATGACAATATTACATTATTAGAATACCTAGAATATGTGTAGCATCCAGCCCTACAATGGATTTGTGAAATTGGTCTAGGCCGAGTTAAGCCTGGCCTAGTCTCACATGTTGTTATGGGGTCTTCTATTCCTTTCACTGTTATCTGTGCCCCACCTAAAGGTGGAAAAGTAAGGAATAATCTAAAGTTAAATGCTTGCTAATGGATATAGCCGATATAATGATGCACCCGCGCGTGATAATGACGACCGGTTCTCAGTACAGCTGAAAATAGATGTGACCTTCGACGTGAAGTCAATTGTGGAAAACTTGTGTCGTACAGTAGTCTCAAAACAGTTATTTACGCTGTACATAGATGGTGCCAGTGCATTCTCAACTCAAATTGATCATAATAAAATGAAATTTCATCATTTTTACAATGGAAAAAATGAATTTGCTGTGTCAGACTAGAATCTCGATCCAAATTAACATGAAATATCATTCAGGTCATGCAAAATGTCACCTTTGAATGAATCTAAAATTAGTTTGCACAATGAATTGATAAACGAATGAACCATTGTTCAAAATCGGTTGAGAAACCTGGGAGGAGTTCACCAGACAAAATCTGGTCATGCAGACATCGTTATCCACAGGTCGGTATGTTGATCTTGTATTACGCAGAGAACATCCTAAAACTTGTTTCATAGAAACTTTGAAGTCTCTAGGTTGCCAGAGTAAAGAACAACAGTTATTGAAACCCTAATGGAAAATATGTTCTTTCACTTCTCGGGACGAAATGGTTTCAGCAGAACTCTACAGATGTATCCCATTTCTCGCATTTAAACAAATCCCACCTATTATGAATGAAGTATTTTTGCAATGTTCTTGATTTTGTAGTGTGTATCCTTGAAATGGAAAAGAGTCTGCATTAAAGGGGTGTATTTTAAAATGGTTGGAGAAGCAAGATACTTCATGGTGCAGCCTCACGGCTAAAGACGCTGCACCGTCAATAATGAACAAGGACAAAGCATGGACAAGATGGGCAAGCCTGGTCAAGTAGTGGGCTTCCTTTCATTTAAGGATACCCTCATTTCTTCGCCTACTTGAACAAAATGCCATCTCTTTCCCAGTCTGCGACAATCAAAGTCTTATTTCTCTGTTAGATTTGGCAAATCTACCCATGGAACTCATGAAATGATGATGGGAGAATGAAGGGTTGTGCATGGTTCGATCCATCCGCCGCGAAGGCTAGTAGAGAACTGACAGCACTGGTTGCGGACGCGGCACCACGCCGAAGGGCTGGATCTTGCGCACTTGCGCATTTTGTTCCAGGTTTTTAAGGGCTCTTGGGAACTCATGCCATTCCCGTCGTAAGCAAATTTCAAATCCAAAATTCGCGATAAAAATGGCAATTTCAGGGTAAATTCGCCGCAAAACGAACTAGGGGTATTTCTTGTTGATGCCGACCTGCTTGGAAATTATTGATTTGATAATGCCAATATTTTCTTATTCATCGTCGGACGACCAAAGTGTTGACAGACACACAGACTGACAGAAGGGGACCATAAGTGGTCTCTTTCCTTTCAAGAAGGTGGCCCACTAAAAGCAGACGTCATGGCCTCAAATGAGAGATATCATTTGAGAGGATACCATCCACCTCATGATTCAAAACAGTTATATTTTATGAGTGGGCTTTGAGCAACTGTCACCTTTTATCCTGACGACAAATACAATTGAAACTTCCAGGAAACAAAATTGTGCAGTGCTGTCAATGCCATGCGAAATTGAAAATGTAGAATTTTAAAAGTCCATTTTAAAAGGCGTCAAAGACAATGTTTTTTTTTTGCGCTAGCTAATGTCTGTAGATAAAATAAATGTAGAGGAAGGAATGGGTTCTAATCATAAGTGCTTATTTTCCAACTGCTCTAAATTACTCTGGATATGTGCATCTAAAGCAGGAACATATTGCTTGGCCCTCGTAAAGAGTATGTACTCTTCACTTTTAGAATATGGTTCGCTAGAAATCCAGGACTAGGTTTCTCTTATTGTTTAATGCTTACGATAGAAAGGTTCATCCATCCGTCGGCAGCACTAAGGATTTGGTGGGTGAGCAAGGTGAAGTTCCGTAGAAATATCTCAGAATTCTCAACATCCATGTCACCTTCGCCCAAGACATCGATAAATCTTTCAAACAGCGGTCCAAGGAAGTCCACAATATCTTCGATCTCTTCCCCTGACAACTCTTCTTCCTCCTCCACGGCCGCGTTCAAATCAGATATTAAGTCCAAAGAACTTGAATTGTCCAGCTAAGATTATTGAGAAACATGACTGTAGCGGTAGCGATTTCTGCGAAAGTGAAGAGATTACAGCAACCTGTGAAACTTACCGCACCCCAAAGATCTTCAATCAAACCACTTAAAGAACGACAAGAGTCAAAGATCGATGCATATCCATCTTCGGTGCAGTTATAAAGCTGGTATCCTTGCTGGTCATCGGGACAAGGCCTTAGAATCACTTCGCCCTCAAAGGATTCACCACCGCAGCTGCGAACTGAAAATACGTTTTTCGCTACGCATACAAAGCAATGACATTAGATAGAGTTAGAAAGAAAGGACTCCATGAAAGTACTTGTGCTGAAACTCGTATAGATATGAAGATAATGAAGGAACTACTCATAGTGTCAACATACGAGGTGTGATCAAAAAGGTCAAAGACTAAATTTTTTATGACGCTGTGGTGACTCTTTCCGACTGCTGAAGGTTATATCCTTTAAACTAGTCCTCTTCGGCATCTACCCAAATTTTCCGGCGTTTCTTCAGCCGCTGGAAGCATTGCTGACACATCTTTTGGAATCATCAGCAGCGCTCGCGGCGCGTTCGTAATGCTGTTTTAAATGTTCTGGGATTTCCTTTCTTTTGCAATTTCAGCAATTTCTGACCTACTCCGCAATCCCGTACTTCATCATCCATTTAACTCGCTGGATTTAGCTCCAAGTAATTTATTTTTGTTCCCTAAGCTAAATAATGTGCTGAAATGAAGATTTTAGGCATTCAGAGCAAAATTGTAAACGCGCCGCGAGCGCTGCTGGCGATTGCAAAATATGAGTGTCAGCTATGCTTCCAGTGGCTGAAGTAACGCCGGAAAATTTGTGTAGGTGCCGAAGAGAACTAGTTTAAAGGATATAACTATCAGAGTTACCACAGTGTCATAAAAAATTAAGTATTATAACTTTTTGATCATACCTCGTAGTCTACAAATAATTTTTGCGTTAAGACTTTGAAGTGGCTTATGTAGCTGTTATTGCTCATTCTATACATTTGTAGATTTATATTGAAACAAGAGTGTGTGGATCAAAGGCCGTAATTGAAGCAACCAATGGAACACTAACCGACGCACTGACAATTGTTACTTGGTGTTCCTCATGTTAGAAGTGGCGTCACAAAGGACGGCATCAGTAAAAGAATTTCCTAGAACACCTATTCTATTTTACAGGTGCGCGAGCCAAAGGTGCGAGAATTGAACCTTGAACAAAGGGGTTTAACCGAATTATTAGGGGGTGAGCATCGGAAACGGATTCTTTAAATGCATTAATAATTTCCTTATATCGCAGAGCGCCGAAGGCGCATAAATAGCGAGTTTGTTTGCCCGAAGGGCAAAATAACTCGCTAGTCACAGATATTATCGTTTGTAACTTTGGCCTGAATTAAGGAATTTTTGCAGCCTCGTTGACTTTCAAATAAATGAGACCATGTTACATCCTTAGCAAATTTGGCGAGAAGCATGATACACTCAAGAGAAATTATATTTTCTTCTATAACCTGCAGACTCAGATTGACAAAGCGAGAAATTTTGAATGAACGTTGAGAAATCATAGTGAGATTTTAAGACATATCTGACTATGAGGAATATACAGTGGTTTTCACTTCAGTTAGACATTTTTTCACTTGACTTTGACAAAGGTGCACAGTGAAGGTGATATGAATGGAACTCCCAGTTTCTGCCTCGATCCGCTATAAGTGCAGATGGGATGACATTGGCGGCAACGATGATGAGTAATTTCCTGCTGAAGAGAGGAAAATCAATATGAACCCTCCCAAATACACAATATATGGAAATGATTAATTAATGTCGTAGTGAAAAACTAGGCTTCCATGTCACCCATTACGATTTTCCTTAATAATATTTCAATAAAACGGGAAGTTTTGGGCATCATTTCCTGGGTTCTAAAGTATCATTCCCCACGCCGAACTCACGTAGGCTAGATTAGGCATACCTAAGTGGATCTGAGATTGTCCATCTAAGTCTGATCCTGTGTTTCTACATCGTTGAGCATACGGGAAATTGAAAACGTAGAGGGTTTTTATTTAAATAGACTGCTCGGAAGGTCTCCCGTTGATAACGTGGATATGCTCGCTGTTCATCGTTTCCAGTAATTAGTTTGATTAGGCTTTTTCACATGAGAAAAAGCCTAAATATTCGAAGGAGAGAAAGATGTCGCTAGTCACCAGGGACACCAGCACCCTCACTTCCTCTCTGAATACCCCACGCATCAGTGTCTTAGTCAAGTGAAAAATTGTCTAACTGAAGTGAAAAACACTGTAGGACCGTCATGAAGGCGTTGAAGTGCGAAATGAGGTCTGCGAGACAGGATGGCGAGGAACGGCTAACTAGCGATGCTAAGAAGCACACCAAGGCTTTTTATCGGTATGCTAGTTGAAAGTGTCAACGGTCGATCAGGCCTCCAATGAACAACAGGGCGAGTCAATTGTAAGTATTGGGTTGGAAAGAAAGCCTTGCAACACTTTCTAAAACTATTTATACAAATTTTGAAAGGAATGATGGGCGGGGCTTTGCATTTGTATATGCTGGAATGTTCTTGAAGCTTCTGCCCTCGGGGTATATAAGGCGGCTTCTGCCATTAGCTGGCAGCCATGGCTGCGATCGAACAAGCAACTCTTCGCCCCATCGTCTACTACGAGTTCCTCCAAGGACACTCTGCGAGAGCCGCCGCAGACAACATCTGCGCTGCATTCAAGGGCAACGTCGTCCACTATTCAACGGTGTCTCGATGGTCGAAACGCTTGGAATCTGGCGACACGACCTTCGGAGATCGACCACGCTCAGGACGTCCATCTACAGTCGATGACGAAGCCCTGCGGAACGCCCTCGACGCGAAGCCGAACGCCACCACCCGCGAATCGGCGACTACACTTGGAGTCACCCATATGGCCATCGGCAACCATCTGAACGACCTAGGCTACCTGAAGGTTTACTCGACATGGGTCCCTCATCAGTTCAGGGACTCTGACAAAGCAAGCCGTGTCAGTGTCTGCGAATCACTGCTGCTTCGTCCGCACAGAAAGGACCTTCTGAAGGTATTCGTTACTGGAGATGAGAGCTGGGTCCTCTACGTCAACCATACTCGCAAGAGTCAGTGGCTTCCACGAGGAGAATTGCCGCCACACGAACCGAAACCAGGGTTCCACGAAAAGAAGGTGCTGTTGGTGGGATTCAGAAGGAATGTTGAACTATGAGCTCCTGCCAACCGGTACCACTGTGACTGCCGTCGTCTACGCTGCTCAACTTCAGAAGTTGGCTGACGTCATTCAAAAAGAGCGTCCCCAACGCGACAAAGTTCTCCTTCTGCATGACAACGCTCGTCCACATGTTGCGAAGATGACTCGCCAGACGATTTCGGAACTGGGCTGGGAAGTTTTACCCCATCCAGCGTATTCTCCGGACTTGGCCCCTTCCGACTATCACTTGTTCCCGGCCCTCGAGAATCACCTGCGGGACAAGGCCTTCGACGATCGAGCACAGCTCGAAAATGATGTCGGCCGTTTCTTCGCTTCGCAATCGCCAGAGTTCTGGGCAAAGGGCATCGAGCGGTTACCCGTGCGTTGGGAACATGTCATAGACAACAATGGTCATTACATTTTAGACTGAAATTGCATTTCAATAAAGTTATAACGTTTTGAAAAATTTGCGCAGAGTGTTGCAAGACTTTTTTTCCAACCCAATAATAAGGATATGGCCGGGATGCCTGACGAGTTTTTCGCTTCCGATTTCACTATCGAATCCGACGAAGCACGACTTTGGAAGAGGAAACCTCAGCTCGAATTGCGGAAAATTGTCATCACCGAGGAAACGATTAAAAGTACGATAGGTAAGTTAAAGGTGGCCAAGGCGACCGACCCCAATGGGATTCCTGCTCGAGTCATCAAGGAACAAGCAAGAGAAATATCGGTTGCGCGAAGAATCTTATTTGAAAGCAGCTTTTCGCGCGGTAAAGTACTTAACGACTGGAGGCCAGCTAACGTCGTGCCGATCTTTAAGAAGGATGAAAAGAGTATTCCGGGGAAGATCATGGAGAGCATCCTAAAGAGACCACATTTTGAATTTTCTCAAAGGCAATGCTCTCATCCGGGACTCACCACGGCTTTAGGAGGCGTCGAAATTCTCTCGAACTCTACGACTGGGCGACGGACGGATAAGGGGAATCCCGTGGACATAGCCTATTTAGATTTCGCGAAAGCTTTTGATACCGTTCCTCGCAAGAGGTTGCAAGTAAAACTGAAGGCGTACGGGATTCAGGGTAGGATAAGCGAGTGGATCAGTAACCGAGTGACGGGAAGGGAACAGCGGAGTAATGGTAATTGACGGAGGTCAGGGTTCCAAGCGGTGTCCATCAGGGCTCTATCCTGGGACCGCTCCTATTTTTGGTCTACATTAATGATTTCGATCTAGGCGTAGAGGGTTAGATTAGTAAATTTGCCGACGACTCCAAAATAGGTTTTCCTTTAAGGGGGGAGACGGATAGGGCCAGAGTCGAGTGAGATTTGAGGCTTTTGAATGAGTAGAGTAAGAAATAGATCATGAGGTTTAATAAAAGTACGAGGATAAGTTTAAAAGTATCGGGAATGTATTCATTAAAATTAACACAACAGCAACACAGAACTCGCAAGTGTATCACTTTTCAACATTGTTCCCCTGCTTTTCAACACACTTGATCCAGCGTCACACAAGCTTTTGCATGCCGTCAGAAAAAAATGTTTTCGGCAGGGCGGCAAGCCACGTATGGACCGCCTCTTACAACGCATGGTCGCTGGCAAAACAACGGCCTCTAAAAGCATGTTTGAGGAGTCCAAACTGATGATGGAGCAAGGTTGTTTGGAAACCCACCTTGCACAAACTTTATTGAAGCGAAATCTGCGATAGATGATTTAATAGGCAGAACTGTGACTAATCTGCAGTTGGATTGCCACTTCATCGACAGTCACCCTCCTGTTGTCGAGAATCAGCGCGCGGACTTGGACGCTTCGCTGCTGCAAAACACTGTCACCCTACTGTGCTGATTGTCTTCGATGGATTTCTGCACCCCTTACACGTTCAACCCACAAAAATCGAATCACTGCACGCTGCTCTTCCTCGGTGCATGTTGTAATATGTGAGGCCATGTTGACCCACTAGTGGTGAAAGACATCTGAACGGTTAAGGCCAAATATGTCACAACACTATAGGGAATATCAGTGCTTACGGTCGCGCGCGAATTCAGCAGTTGGGCCAATCGCAAAAAAAAGTTATGAACACTGCGGATACTTTTTGACTTACCCTCGAACATAAGAGTAAAGTTCTCCACGTCGGACAAAATAACGGTAGGTGTCTCAACGCGTTTGGCGTGTACATTACTAGGGAAGGCATAATGAGAGGGAGATTTAGGGGTTTTTATCAACGAAGGCCTCATGTTTTTCTAGCACGCGCAATCGACGGTGGCTATATGTAACAGAATTCTAGAATACATTCGTCGTTCAGTTGCCAGAATGAATTCGCGAGTTATTCTTCCGGAATGTTCTATACAGAGGCGCTATTGCAATTTTAGGCAATTTTTGGGGACCAGTTCTGTGGAGTGATGAACATTTATTGTTCCACTCTGTACCTATTGGGATGCTGAGGTCAGATAAATTCAGACTTCTGAGGTAAATCTATTAAATCTATCCATTCAATGATAGTCAATGGTCACTGAAAGATTTTAGAATCAGGCTTGGAGATTACACGATCTTTTGCTTTTAGCTGTGATGCTATTGTACAACTCTTTATTGCTCTACATACCAAATGTCATTCTACTCCGAGTCGTATTAACAAAGTTATAGCTTCTTTGATTTTCTTTAGTGGTAGTATTTTATCACGTTACAATGGAGCTCACTCGAGAGCACTGGCGGGCTATGATTTTCTATGATTTCAAAAAAAGGCTTCAGCCAGCGGATTGCTACTAGTCCTTGAGAGGGCTTTTGGAGACACTGCACCTTCAAGCGCCACAGTGTATATTTGGTTTGCCTATTTTCGCCAAGGACGACACTCACTCGAAGACGAACCTCGCGTTGGCCGTCCCACCACTGCTGTTGCTCCTGACATCATTGAGCGTGTGCGTAACCCGATTGAGAACGATCGTCGAATCACTTATGAGGAGATTCAGGTTGCCTTGGGTGTCGAATCGGCTGCACTACTTGAAATCCTGCATCAACGTCTTGGCTTGCGGAAGCTTGTTTCTCGTTAGGTCTTCATGGGTTACTCCAAAGACCAAAGACTGGTCTTCATGGGTTACTCCTTCATCACGACAACGCTCCTGCTGACACTGCAATTCGCTTTTTGGACTTTCTGGCGGAGAAGGGAGTCACACTTGTGACCCATCCACCCTATTCGCCTGATCTGAGTTCCTGCGACTTCTTCCTGTTCCCCAAAGTTAAACAACAGCTGCGTGGACGCCGGTTCAATGACGCCGATGAGGCTATCAATGCTTAACAGGAGGCAATAATGGCTCTGACTGATCGGATGTGGAAAACGTCCTTTGAAAGCTGGTTCATGCGGATGAAAACTTACGTGCAGTGTGATGGTGACTACTTCGAGCAACTGTAGAAAGTTGGTTCCATTTCGGTGTGTAGACTCCTTGATTCTAAAAACTTTCAGAGTGACCCATGTATCCTCTTTAACAGTCGTTTTTGTCAGGGGGATCCGGGTTTCTGACGGCAGGGAGCAGAGACAATCAATATAACAAGGAATAGTAATCAGTAACGGTGGAATGATGGTAAATAATTGAGGCTAGCCGTTGCCACCAGAGGCAAAGCTGGGAGTCCCGCAGCTGTAACTGGAAACGTTTTTGCCTCATCTCTACTGTTTCTGTAATGCGTGGTCAATTCCATGCGAGGTCGAACGCGTTTCACTACACTGGTGTTGAATCTTCTTCTGCTGAGAAGTGAGAAACGGGCTATGAAAGAGGCATTCGATGCATGTGGCCATCCCAATCCTTCCGGATGACAAATATCCATTAATAAATATCCTGAAATGCAACGATAATTGCCGCAAAAAGGCATGATTCACGAAGCCCCTTCCCGCTAAGGGGCCTGCGAGCTTCAGTTGTCTTTGCGCAGACGAAGTTCGACAACATGCAGTGATGTTCGAAGATGGGACCCCATTTACCAAGAATAACATTCGAGAACTGGAGAATTTCCTTTGATGATTTTTCTTGTTATTAACCTCATTATATTTGCCGTATTTTATCTACAATCATCCTAAAACCTGAATTATCACCAAAGATCCGACAACCGTGCAGAGCAACAGACTCAACATGTTGCGGATCGTCTGGGTTTCTTGTCTTTTCCCCGTCCTCCACAAGGGGGGGGGGGGTCCCGAATTCAATCTGGGAACAGTGTATTTGACGCGTACAGTAAGGCTTGGGTTGTCAAAACAACGTTGAGGAATGAGTATGGGGGTACTAGCGAGTTTCTTTGCCCTTCGGGCAAACAAACTCGCTATGGACGCGCCTTCGGCGCCCTATGACCAAAGAAAATTGATAATGCATTCATAACATCTGTTTTTGAAGCACACCCCTAATGAGGCTGTCAAGCCCCTTGGATAATAGGTTTGGCAATTCTCGCGACTTTGGGGGTCGCATATAAAAAATAAAATTATTTCATGAAATATTCATAATCTGATTCCCAGCATAAGGATCATGAGGTAAAAATTCAGTGCATTGTTTGGTGTCCCGATATTGAAATAAATCCCTGCCTGTGGTCGTCACACTCTGTGCATAAATCTCAAAAACATAGTAGTAGACACAGTAGCTCTTACTTCAGAGTTTGAAGGCGATAATTCCACATAGACTATACGTAATTTTATCGTTAACATATACATTGTGGCGCAAGTTCTCTATGGAAGTCCCCTTTTCAAACTCTTCTAAAGGTTCCATACAGTTCTCTATTAAAATCGCGTCATTGCGTAAATGCAGCCCGTAGATATACCTTCCCGTTTCGTTTAAGTGTACATAGCATTGACCCACTAGCCGACACGTGGAAGACTTCCACGAACTTCTGGTCGACCTAGGCCAGGTGTGTCAATCTACTAGTCCGCTCGTAAGTATTTTCCGGCCTGTAAGAACCTCTTCAATAGTTGGTTTTTGGAAAATCGAGAAAATGTCTAAATTTTAGCAATTGAGACCTTACAGTAAGATTTGTTAATGTGGACCCACCCACATGTGAAGGGTTTCATCCAGCCTCCAGCCTAATCAAGTTTAACATCGCTGGTCCTGGTTAAACATGTAACAATGTCAGGGATTCATGAGTTCAGTCAGAGGCCGTTTGAACACTACGAGGCAGCCGCTCTCTCCCGTTCTCAAAGACGGACCTACGAAGGCTCGAAAGAAGCTGCAAGGTCGAGAGTGAGACGCAAACCTAACTCCCGTGGAATATATCCGGTAATTCCATTCGCCCACGCAACCAGGATTTCGATTACTTGATTCAGAATGCCTCATATGTGTTGATGATCTTATGATTAAAAAATATATTAACGAAATACAAATATTATTACTTCTCTTTAATTTTCCATATCAGTAATAGAGTCATTGACCTTTTCATGATATTTCTTTAGATTTTTATTTTGGGCGCACATGGCGAATTCGAAGGTCAAATTTATAGTCCATGAATAATATTGTACTTTTTTTAATTCAAACGACGTTTTTATACAAATTTTAAATTCACCGGGTAATTTTCAGTAAATTCACACCGTTGTCAAGGCTCTAGTTATTGAGTTACAAGGATATCGAAATCGGAGGTGAAAACGTGAGTGTGCCAAAAGCGGTGAATTGTCTTTTGTAGCATCTTTCGTGTAGGGCGTAAAAGTGGGAAAACATTTATAAGTCAAAGGAAGAGAGACATGGGAGAAAAAAGTACACATTTTCTACATCCCATACGAAAAGGCAGTTCAGGTACATATAGAACTGGTGTTCGTGGTTTCCTTGTATAAGTATCTAAAAACAAAAAAATAAAAAAGAAATCATTAGATCAATCAAACACAACGAACCGTCTGTGGTGCTAATTACATCAGCACATCCGGGAGTGCCAGGTTCGATTCATTTATTTAAAATTTACGTGCTTTAATTATGCAAATATGGAAGTAGCGGGATGTAAACTGGATTTCCTTATTTATTATGAATGAGAGGTTTCTGCACTTCCCTTCAAGGTTTAATGGGCATGATCATCAAATGCCATATGAAAGGCAATAAATGCTCTGAGTAAAGTCGATGTGACTAACCTTCTGTGGTGCTTGTCACGACGACGGTCACAGGAATGTCAGGTTCGGTCGTTGTTGGCTCTAAAAAAGTAAGGCATAGAGCTTCTTCAATTATACTAATTCGGAAAAATTAAAATGCAGAATTTATATCCTTAGTGTTATATTTGAATGAGATGTTTGTGAAAGTATGCTGTCGATCGAACCGTGCTGAGAGCGAGTATCAAAGACTATATGAAAGGAAATAAAAGCTCTGAGTAAAGTGGATATGAGTAACCGTTTGTGGTCCTTCTCAAGACTACGCTCATGGGAGTGTCAGGTTAAGTCGTTGTGGGCTCGAAAACGAGAAATCAATAATTTTATTAAAATTATGCTTATTTGGAAACAGGAGAATGCAGCATTCATCTCCTTTTTTGAATTACAAGTTCGTGGATCTTGATTTCCTTTCATGGCTTACTGTGCATGAGTATGAAATGCCATATAACAAGGTATAAATACTCTCCGTGAAGTCGATGTGACTAACCGTCTGTGGTACTTGTCACGACTATGCTCACGGGAGTGTCAGGTTCGGTCGTTGTTGGCTCTGAAACGGGAAATAATACTTTCTTTAAATTATGCTTATTAGGAAACAGGGGGATGCAGCATTCATGTCCTTTTTTGAAGCACAAGTTTGTGGAATTTGGTTTGTATTCATAGCCTACTGTGCACGAGTTTCAAATCTAATTTAACAGGGAATATATGCTCTATATGAAGTCGATGTGACTAACCGTCTGTGGTGCTTGTCACGACTACGCTCACGGGAGTGTCAGGTTCCGTCGTTGTTGGCTCTGAAACGGAAAAGCATACAGCTTTTTCAATTATGTTCATTTGGAAACAGGAGGATGTAGCATTCATGTCCTTTTTTGAATTACAAGTTCGTGGATCTTGATTTCCTTTCATGGCTTACTGTGAATGAGTATGAAATGCCATTTAACAAGGTATAAATAATCTTCGTGAAGTCAATGTGACTAACCGTCTGTGGTGCTTGTCACGACTACGCTCACGGGAGTGTCAGGTTCGGTCGTTGTTGGCTCTGAAACGGAAAAGCATACAGCTTTTTTAATTATGTTCATTTGGAAACAGGGGGATGCAGCATTCATGTCCTTTTTTGAATTACATGTTCCTGGATCTTGATTTCCTTTCATGGCTTACTGTGCATGAGTATGAAATGCCATATAACAAGGTTTAAATACTCTCCGTGAAGTCGATGCGACTTACCTTCTGTGGTGCTTGTCACGACTACGCTCACGGGAGTGTCAGGTTCGGTCGTTGTTGGCTCTGAAACAGGAAATCATGCTTTTTTTTAATTATGCTTATTAGGAAAAAGAAGGATGTAGCCTTCATGTCCCCATTTGACTATGAATTACATGTCTGTGCATATAGGTTTCACTTCATGGCTTACTGTGCATGAGTATGAAATGCCATATAATAAGGTATAAATAATCTTCATGAAGTCAATGTGACTAACCGTCTGTGGTGCTGGTCATGACTACGCTCACGGGAGTATCAGGTTCGGTCGTTGTGGGCTCTGAAACGGGAAAGCATACAGTTTTTTTAATTATGTTCATTTCGAAACAGGAGGTTCTAGTCTTCATGTCCGTATCTTTCTCTATTTGCAAGGATCTCTGTCTGTTTCTGTCCATCTGACGCTATGCATTCGGACACTGTTGGAGATATCGACCTGAAACCTTCGCAGGAGGGTGGAGTCTGTCTAGGTGTAGGTTATAGGGGGGTCGGGGTCATGGGGTGCTGCTCCGGGGCGGGCGGGGGGGGCTCGGGGTACCAAACTGTTTGTTCCAGGCCAGCTCGATTTCTCAAGCATTGCAGTGATTATTGAGACACTTTAGAATTAAATTTTTTTTTTCAGTCAGTAAGAATATGAGTGAAAAAATGGAGTTTAGTTTTTCTAGTGATACAAGAATATCATTGAGAAACTCAATTCAGTTAGATTTTTGCGATTGAGCCCCTTTGAGTTAAGAAATAATTTAGAACAACTTTTAAAAAATAAAAATAAAAACAAATAAAAATAAAATGGCCAGAGCAGTGCTCCTGTCCCCGTCGGTCTGGCCAGACTTAGACAAAGAATGACTAATAAAAAAGCACATAAAAGAACTGCTATATTACTCCTGAAAAGTATCCCGGGTAACCGACCTTGTTTTTTTATTATAAAATAAATGATTGAGCAAGTAGGCTTTCGTTCGAGGCTTACTGTCCAGGAGCATCAAATTCCATATCAAAAGGAATAAATGCTCTGAGTAAAGTCGATGTGACTAACCGTTTGTGGTGCTTGTCACGACCACGCTCACTGGAGTGTCAGGCTCGGTCATTGTGGGCTCTGAAATGGGAAAACATTAATTTGTTTACATTTATATATTTTTTCTTGGCCACTTTTCCCAACTTAATGGGGTCACGGTTCGAGCATTCCCAGAAGCGTCCTCCAGTGATCTCGATTTTGGGCAAAAGACTCAAGCTCAGCTTGTGGGATGCCGAACCTCTCATGACATTGCCGAGCGACGTTATCACTCCACCTCGTAAGAGGTCCATCGACATGTCTTTTGTCGTTCATCTTGGCCTGGAAGACTCCTCTTGGGAGAATTTCAGGGGGCATGCGGCAGACGTTTCGGAACCACCTGGTCTGAGACCTCTCGATCCGGAGAAGCAGCTGCTCGACGCAGAGACTCTCGTGGATGCCAGAGTTCAGCATTCGATCACGGCGCGTTACGCCAGCAATTCGGCGCAAGAACCTCACTTCGGTACCTTGTATCTGGTGCTTTCGGTCATTACCCAAAGTTCATGACCATAGGTAATGATGGGGAGAGAAACACTCTTAAAAACCGAGAGTTTTGCTTCCCTAGACATTTTCGATTTGGTAACCACGGTTCGCCAAAGTTCCCGCAGAACTGGAAATGAGGTTTTTCGATCGACTCGTTTCCGTATCAATCGTCACTCGAGAGTCACATCCCGAAATACTTGAACTTCCCCACCTGTTCCAGTGGGACCCTACTGACATGCAGGGTGCACCGAGCAGTATTTCTCGAGAGGACCATGACCTGTGTCTTGGAGACGCTTAATTTATTTCCGGTCGTTGTGCCTTCGGAGTCGAACCGATCGAGCACGCTCTGGAGCTACTGTCGAGAGCGGGATGATGACGGGCTTGATGACGAAGAGAAGTATCGTTACCGCGACGTCACCGATGTTGACCCTCTCCAGGCCGAGGCTGCGGCTACTGATCCTGTCTATGTACACGAGGAACAGGAAAGGTGAGAGGACACAGCCCTGCCGGAGTCCAGCGTGTACCAGAAGACAATCCGAACTCCTCCCACTCACTCGGACACAGCTTCTCCAATAGCTGTATGGAGACAGAACGGCCCGCAATAGCTGACCCTTGATCCCATACTCCTGCAGCACTCCCCACAATTTTCCTCGGGGTACACGGTTGTAAGCTTTTTCAAGGTCAACGAATTACATTTAGACATATTTGGCATACTCCCAATGTCTTTCGAGGATCTAGTGGAGAGTGAACAGCTGGTCCGTGGTGCTGCGCCCTTCACGAAAGCCGCACTGCTCCTCTTGGGTGGTTTCACCCACGACTGCCCGAGCTCTCTTTTCCAGCACCTTGGAATAGACTTCACGAAGTATGCTGAGGAGAGTGATCCCACGATAGTTGGTGCACTCCCTCGAGTTCCCCTTCTTAAAAAGAGGAAACACCACACCGGTTTGCCAATGCCTAGGTGCCGTTCCCAATTCCCAAGCAGCCTCACACACCCTATAAAGCCACGAGCACCAATCTGTACCCATTGATTTCAGAGTCTCCGCCCGGATTTCAGCCGCAGCAGGAGATTTCCTATTCTTCAGGCTAGCAATGGCCTGCAGAACTTCATTCGTGGTGAGACTATTCTCGGCGCTTAGAGGCTCCAGGTCGGGTAGGTCAGTGTCCACTGTTGGTGGGTTTAAAACTCTTCGAAGTATTCCTTCAACCTTCCGAGTATATCCGCCTCGGCAGCCAACACCTCCCCTTTCCAGTCTTTGATGACCCGGAGCGTATGTTGCCTGCCTTGCAGTAACCTTCGGATGGTTTGCCAGAACACCTTGATGGCAGTGCGGTAGTCTGATTCCATTTGATCGCCGAATTCCTTCCACGCCTCCTGTTTCGCTTTGGCCACAACACAAGCAGCAGTTGGTCTCGCCTCGGAATAGCACGCCCTAGAAGAATCAGACCTACTGGACATGTACGCCCGGTAGGCTACCTTCTTGGAAGTGACAGCCTCGCGCACCGATGGTGTCCACCAGGGCGTTCGCTTGGCGTTACCGTGAGCCACTCCGATGCGCTTCTCCCCACACACTATTGCTGCCGCTGCCGATACGCCAGAACGAAATAGAGTCCATTCGGTCTCTACATCTGACGTCGGGGAGGCAGTTGGGAGTATTTCTCGTATCCGTCACAAGGCCCCACAAGTCCGCCGAAACGATCACGTAATCGATCAGCGATTGCTGGCACACAGTACCAGTCCGACTATCAGACCCCCTGTGCAAGGTAAACATGTGGATATCTTTGAGCTGGAAGAAGGTGTTGGTGATGGTCAGGCCATTGCCAGCATAGGAGTCCAGCAACTTTCCGCCACTCCCGCTCAGCGTGGCTTACCCAAATCGACCGATCACACCACTCCATGTAGCATCGTCTCTCCCGACTCCTGCATTGAAGTTCCCATCAGCACAACGCGGTCGCCGTTCGGAATCCTTTCTAAGGTTCCATCCACCTTCTCCAAAAACGCATCGTAAGCAAGCTCGCTGTTCGGCCCGTAGACCTGAGCGACGGCCAAGACGCCGACTTGCTCCAGTCTGAGGCGGATCAGAGCGACACGCTCGCCGATTCGGTTCCATTCGATGACGCTTTAGGCCAGTTGAGACTAATGAGTATCCCTAACCAGCCTGAGCAAACACTGTCGAGTCGACTCCGCTCCAGTAGAGGGTCCATCCGTGGTCTAGAGAAATGGAACCGGGTGCCTTTCCTCTTGGTTGAGGCTAGGCTAACTATCAATATATTAGAAAAGTACAATTTCTTCTTTACTTAGCTATCATGTACTTCTTTGCCAAGTTTAAACTTTAATGCGACCTCTGTTTTCCTGGATTAGAAAATTCCCGAAATTCGCGTGCAAAATATGTGCCGTGAGTTGTTTTATTTTTTTATTATACCGAAATCCATCCTCAGTGAACTACATGCCCACAAAGTTTCAATATTATACGTTTGCTCTTTTCGCTGGTGAAAAAGCACGTTTGGAATAACCGACCCACCCAAAAGCTATGCCCGGAGGGGATGCACCATGAAAGCTGAATACTCTCTCAGCTCAGTAATATCATGTCACTTAAACGTATGCCAAGTTTCCCCTTTCCATTTCTGTCCAATTCGCCACTACAATTTTTCTTTTCCAGTCATCGCACCGCAAAAAAATTCCCCCAGGAGATGTATCGAGACAAAACTTTTTTTAAAACTCCTTTTCCCACTTGTCACATTCATGCAAAGTTTCAGCTTTCCATGTCACTCCGTTTTACTGAAGCAAAAATAATGTTATGGAGGAGGAATGAGTAACGGGCCATGGAAGGCAAAAAAAGCCAAAAGAAAGCCTAGAAATGGCCAGGAATTGAACCCGGACCTTTTGATTGCAAGTCAGATATGCTACTACTACACCACCGAACCCTGCACATCCAGTTGATTCTCTGAATGCCATCCTCATGTGTCACAAAATATATTTAAGCAAAACTTTTCCCTCAAAATGTGTACCCCCAAGGCATGTACCTCCAAGGTCGGATTTTTTCTGAACTCTACATCCCAAAAGGTACATGTGTGCCAAGTTTCAGATTTCTAACCCTTCTAGAACATGGTTGGAATTAGCGTCAGTCAGTCACGATCGTCTATATACAGGTTATTCCAAAAGTCCCTCATTATCTTTAAAAATTTATTAAAACAACAATTACAAGAGGAATCAAATGAAAATTTGGTTGCAGAGTCTACGATTCACGAGAATTTTGGTGGAATTAAACTTGGCTTCATATGTCAACTAGAAAGTCACTAGTACTCCTCAACGTGGGCACCACCTTTTTCGAAACAAGCGAGCCACCGTTTCACGCATTCTTGGCCGACATTAAACAACATTTCGGGAGTAACAGAAGCACATGCGTTTCTGATCCGTTCTTCTAGTGCGGGGAGGTCTCGCGGCCTGATGGCGTACACTTTGCTCTTACTGTAGCCCCACAAAAAGAAATCGCATGGTGTAAGATCCGGCAAGCGAGCAGCCCATTTGACGGGACCACCGCGACCAATCCACCGATCCGGGAACTGCTCATTCAGAAATGAGCGAACCTCACGTGAGTAATGAGCAGGGGCACCATCTTGCTGGAAAATGACTTCTTGTATGTTGCCTACAGCTGACAGTAGGGGGATGCAGAACTTCTGAAGCATACGATGGTAATTTTCTCCGTTGACGTTTACGGAGTTTCCATCTTGATCCCGGAAGAAAAACGGACCAATCAGCCCAGCTGAGGAGGTGGCACACCAGACGACCAATTTCGGCGTGTCCATTTCATGTTCACGGATCTCCATAGGATTGTGAGTTCCCCAGATGCGGGTGTTGTGCCGATTGACGCGACCAGAAAGGTGGAAGAAAGCTTCGTCGCTGAATCATATGTACTCCAGGATCAATGGGTCTCTTTCGTATTGATTCAGCAGTGCTTCACACATCTCCACCCGACAATCGTAGTCTTGAGGTTCCAGCTTCTGAACTACCTGGATCTTGTTCGGATACAGCTTGAGATCACGCCGCAAAATCCGTTGTATAGACGTCACGCTGATGTTCAGTTCCATAGCTGCTCGTCGAATGGACTTTCCTAGGGTCTCTTTCGTAGTGATGCAGCAGTGTTTCACACATCTCCACCCGGCAATCGTAGTCTTGAGGTTCCAGCTTCTGAACTACCTGGATCTTGTGCGGATACAGCTTGAGATCACGCCGCAAAATCCGTTGTATAGACGTCACTCTGATGTTCAGTTCCACAGCTGATCGTCGAATGGACATTCCATGTCTCTGAGCTAACGCCTCACGGACAATTTCGATATTCTCCTCACTCCGCCCACATCGAGGTCTTCCTGATCGGGGTTTGTCCTTTACGGATCCTGTCTCCATAAACTTCCGGTGGGTGGCGACGATGGTGTTCCTATCAGGTGTGTAATGTTGTCCATAGACTGCCCTGAATCGTCGCTGCACTTCGACTACGGATTGAAAAACTTCCTGCCATGCAGCAGTTTTACATCTCTGCTCTAGAGTCAGCATGGTAA